GTCCATCTTGGAGCTGGCTGGCATCGGCTCTGTTGGACGGGGGGGAAGCTTCTCACAGAAGCTGCCCTTGTATCCCCCCTGCTACCAAAACCTGTCGACATAAACCCAATGCAGTGTGCCGAGCTGCCTGCAACACCCTTGCAGATGGTCTGGTGGTACTCACTTCAGCACAGACAACTCAAGAAGTCCCTTCATACTGAATAAGCTGATAAAAGTACTTGATCTCCTCATGTTCAATTTGTGGGCTTGAGTGATTTAAAGGTTGATCCCTACATGCAGTCCTAAAAGGTCTTAATGGTGGAGGACTTGCCTAGCTTCTCTTCTCTGGGCCATCTTTCACCCTAGCAGAAATCAGACCAGATGAAGATGGATTTGTGGGAACTTTGGATTCTTTTTTTGGGTATAGTTATCAGTAACGTTAACACATCCTTTGAAAATAGCCTCAAGGGGTTTCTGGATGATGTTTTCTACTTACCTTTGGTAGTTGTCTTTGAGTACTTACTTAGGAGATAACAAATGCATGAAGAGGAGACTGTGCTTTTCCCCTGCAGAGAGGAATTCCTTGACCATCTTTCTTCGGGCAGATTTGGGCATGTTTTTCCTTTTCCTTTCATATCGTAAACCTACACTTCCTGTGCTCATTCCAATAGTAACGAAAGAGCTTTGCTTGGGAGTGCTGGCTTCTCTTCAGTGGTCTTTGTCTTCCCTCCTAGGAAACAGTTTGAATGTGTCAGAAGAGTCCCAGTTCCTCAGAACTGTGTCTGGCCAAGAACCTGACCAAGTTGGTCTGTAGTATTTATCTCATTAAAAGCCTGCTTCTTTCCCCCCCAAAAATACAAAGTCATCTGTGAAAAGTAACAAAGGATTAATTGTAGACTTGGGACTTGGTGTAAGTGCCTATAAATGAAGTGGTTTTTTGGAAGCTACATGGCCTGTCTTACAGATCAAAAAATAAATGCAAAGTATTTCAGTGTGTATCAGTGGATTAATTCATTTGATTGCCACTTCCCTTCCTCTTCTCTTTGTGGGGAGGGGCACTCCGGAGATTGGAATTTTAATTGCTTGACCGCAGTTTCTAATTAGTGGTGCACAAAAAGGGCATGGATCATTAATTAGTACTGAATATAAGGATCTCTGAGGTTGAGCTATAGCATCAAATGGATGAGTTTAGACAACTCTCAACTGAAATTAGTCTATCAGTAAATTGAGTTATAATAATGAAACCATTACAATTTTTTCTCAGTCCTTGAATGTTGGTTTCTATGATTGCAGAGTACATTCTGTTGGTCTTAAAGTTAACATAGCATTTTTATATAAATAGATAATTATTATTTGTGTATATGTTATACATATGTATCTTTTCTGAAGGCATATCTATACATTATTGCAGAATAGTTATACATGGCATGCCTTATTTAATTTTATTAAATGTTTTGGGGTTTTAATCCATTAGATAGTTTCATTGGCAATATGTAAAAATAGTGTTCTCTACAGCTGCTTTCTTTTTCAATTGATACCTGGATTTGTGCTACTGTATCCAAAGGGAAATCTAGCTCTTGAGTGTAATGGTCTGAGGACAGAATATTATCCACATTATTATTTGATGTCCAATAGTCTGTCGTATTTTTTCTGGTTTTAGAACTTGGTGATGGCAGTGAGTTGTATAACTTGAGTTACACATTAACATTGCTGCATTCAAGATTCTCAGGGAGTGCAGTGTGGAATAGGAATGTGCCTATAATACATAGTGGTATCAACTTGTTTTCTACTACGTGGATTAAGCACTGGTTAATGGACAGACTGCAAAATGTAGACACGTGTGGGGTCACCATAAATTGCTTTGTGTGTAATAAGGTCACTGGTGCATTGGTATAAAACAGTGTTCTGCAGTATTTGTATCCAGAATTTAGAGGTAAATAGGAAATAATTGCTGATAAAATTTATGATTCATCTGAACAGCGTGTACCTTATTTCAGCTAAATTCATAAACTGGACTTTGGTTATGGACATGTAATTATGGATGTTGATGGGGCAAATTGAAACAATGGCTCTGAAACTTAAATAATACAAAAAATTGTAAATGGATTAAGTTCTGCTACCTGTTCCACTCTATATTCCATTTGTTCATTTATATGTATCCATTTGAGGGCTTTTAAAATATGAAACACGTTTGAATATGCAAGAGCCATAAAGTCTGGTTTGTAAAACCCAGCAGAATTCAGTGATGAATCTAGAGAGCTGTGCTTGTATTTAGTGGGAAGTACGAAGTAATTAGTAGAAAACTACCAAAACCTTTTTTTTTTTTACAGAAAACTTATATTCACTTTATTTTTTAATTCTCCTGTAGAATTCTGTGGGAATATGGTGTCCAGCAGTCTTTATTCATGTAAGTCTCTGGGGCTGAGCAACCATCTTGTGTTGAGAGTTAGTAGAAACTAGATGTCTGGGAGTTCAGAAGTTGGCAGGAGTTTTCATAGGACATTTTTCTTCAAGGTAATTTTCTTGGCTTTTGCTGTATTTGAGACTCAGCTTGTGGAAAGTTTCTGTTCTCTCCTCCTGCTCCTACTTCCTCTTTCACAGGAGTTTCTGAAGCAGTGCAGCTGCCTGCCGTGAATTCACCGGTGCATTGCATGGCAACTTGGCTTCTTGGCACATGGCTCTTTTCTTCTGTCCCCATTTCTGGGGATTAAATTCACATTTTGTGTTCCTGCTTAGGTTTAGAGCCAAATTTTTCACTTCAGCTTCCTTCCTCCCCCTGCCCCTCTTTCCTTTCCTTAATTAAAAGATGCTCAGGTCAAATGCACATAGCTGCAGCTGAAAATGGATGAAAATAGCAAAGATGAAATAGCTATGCTATTGAGACCTGGACCTTTATTTAGCACCACATTTGCTGGCATGTCACTGTAATGGAGTTCAAAAGTGGACTGGATTATGTTTTTCAACAGATTAATTGATAATCTCTAGTTTTAAAGGGAACAAAATTTTGTTTGCAGTCAAACATGATTTTTACAGCTTCAACTGTTCCTCCCATCTAAGTGAATGACAGAGTCATATTCGTTCAGTGTAAACCAAAATAGATTCACCACATCTGTATGTGTCCAGTCTCTCCATTTCCCAAAGTGTATGAGTACATCCAAATTGAGATGCTGACTGCTAAAAACTGACATCTATATGGCACTGGCTAAAACTTCTCGTTTTCAGCACTTTTGAAAATCGGGTGATTTTTGGAATGCCCAAGGATGAACACTGGTTTTAAGAGTTGGGTGACACAAGTGTTTAGGTAATGGACTCCAGGTGGATGTCTACAAAAAGATCAAAGAATCAATCTCAACACCCTTTGCCTTAAATAGTTCTGGAAGCCTGGTAGCATCTCATGCCAGCCCTTCCCTGAGCAGGGAAGAAATTAATTTCAAAAATTACTCAGAATAGCATGGGACAAAGAAATCAAAACAGCAGTGTTGGGTAGGACATTTCTGATAAATCACAAATGATCCTTCTCACAGAGGAATATTCTGTAAAATACCTAAACACAGGAGTCCTTAATACTGAGGTTAACAGATTTTTTTAAAAAGGAGAGAGAGAGCAATAGCAAGATGTGCTCTAAGGTGTTTTAGAGGAAAGATGGCAATAGTTGCTCACAGAGCCTGGACTCTAGTTTTGCACAAGTATCTCTCTTGGTAAAGCTGTTAGGAGGTGCCTTGAAAACAATGCTGCTGAATTTACCCACTTTATCTGTGGTTTTGACAGAAACACCATTGTTCTCCAGTCCGCTGAATACTTTCCTTGCTTTCACTTTGAACTTAACTTCAGACTAATTTAACCTCCTCACCACTATGCCCTTTTGTAATTTACCCATCTTTCTGTTATTCAGTCATTCCCAGCCCCTTCAGCTGAGCTGACATGACGATCTGCACAGTTTCCTTGAAATCATCTCACAGCATTTGAATAACTTGCCCAAATAAGTTCACAGTGCTCCTGCCCTTTTGGTTCATCTTGTCACTGTTTGAGTCATGGGTACCATCAAGTGGCAATAGCCCATTAGGTAGCCACAGCTGTGTACATTGGATATATACATTTAACCAAGGTGCTTAAATGTGAGTTCTCTTATTGGTTGAGCTCTCAGGTTTGTGAAGAGGAGACTGTGGCTGGCAGATTTGCCAAACACATAAAAAGCAAAAGCAGAAGTGTTCTTGAACTGCCAAAAGAATTAAAAACCAAGGAAAATATTGTAATAGTTGCCTGCAGAAAGAGGCAAATATGAAGTATGAGTGTAAAAGTATTGGGTTTTGCTTATGTTAAGATCATGTGAGAATCCTACATTCACTTTTCCTATCCATACTGGAAAATGCATTGGAAGAGGCTGAGAAGAGATCTAATCTGACACCTCCACTTTCACAAAAGGCTCGAACTCAATTTTGTTTCCCCATGAGAAGGCTAAGAGGTGAATTGGTTTTTGTTTACTCCATATATATAGGTACAAGTAGATCAGCTAAAACTGCTTCCCAGCAAGCAGAAATAGGTGTTGAGATCAGTGGCAGGATGCTGACAAGTGTGAACCAGAAATGAGCATGAGTTTGCATGGCTGGAAGATTTTAGACAGGGGAATAATAGATTCAGTGTCACTGGGTTAAATGTCTTTCTTAAAAACTTCCTTATACCTCAGCCAGCCCATGGCTTCTATACATAAGAACTGCTGCATGAGGACTTACAGCCTCTTGAGCAGAGGTCAGGTGGCTCTCCTGGTCTTACACTAGCCATATGTTCTTACTTCTCCTATTCTGTTATTTTCCCTCATTTCACTCATTGCACTGTGCTGAGTTGGGCTGCAATCAGATCTTTGTCTTCTGTATTTGTACAACTTCCAATGCCGTGATGCTGGACACGTAGAAATGATAAACAGTGCTGAGGACTGGTACCAGTTCAAAGAACTCACATTGGATGCAACTACTGAATATCCATTTATTAATGCTTTCCTTTTTTTTTTAATTTTTCATAGTTAAATACATGAGAGAAGCAACTCCCTATGTGAAGAAAGGCTCTCCTGTTTCAGAAATTGGGTGGGAGACACCTCCCCCCGAATCTCCCCGCTTGGGTTGTGCCTCTGCTGACCCACTGTCGCAACTTTCGCTCTCCATCCACAGAGACAAGAAGACAATACCGCTCAAGATGTGCTACGTGACCCGCAACATGACAATCTCAGATCCTGAAAACAGGTGAGGAAGGGATTTGCGCAGATCGGGGATTTTGCCTTCGCGTTGAATCGTCCTTGGCCTTTTCAGCGTTGGGGTTGGTGGGCAGAAGCTGGTGATGGGCTCTAGCTGCATTCAGCAACCCAGCGAAGGGCAAGCGAGGACCAGTTTGGGAAGGGTGGGTGGTGGTGTCTGAACCACGTGATGCTGGATTCAGTGCTTGGGGATAGAGACCCCTCAGCTTTTGGGTTGTGCTAAAGAAACTCTTCAGTGCGGTAATCCAATGTTTTTATTAGAAATAGAATCACAGGTGTTTGTTATTATCCTGATTAAGTGTCTGCTTTTGAGGGAAAGGACACTGTACACACTAACTGGTTACATCTTCTGGGCTGGCTTAATCTAATCCCATTAAATTGCATTTAATTTTGTTTTTTAATGAATATTATTTTAAGAATGGCCTGTTTTGTCTGTTCAGTTCTGGGCATTCAAGTCAGGAAGAGGAGAAAAGTTCCACTTGCAAGGCATTAATGGGGAATTTCTGTGACTTCTTGGGTTTTTTTCATAATGTTAAAAATAGGATGAGCTTTTCCCAGCCCTTATTTATAACATATGTGGAACAGCTGCACCACACCAGCACACTCTCTGATCCCTGCTCTAACAGCTGCTAATAAAAAAGGGACCAGTCAAGTCAGTAATAGAGCTTGATTCTTCCATCCAAATAATGGCCCTTTTGTTTTTCTGCAGTGTGGTGGCTTGCCCAGAAGCTGGGTGTAATGTCTTTGATCCTCAGCCCTTATGCATAAGCATAAATAAAAGTTCTGTTTTCATTTGCAGAGAAGGATAAGGAGAAGAGGGGAGAACAGAAGGGGGTTTGGGGATGATGGGTTCCCCTGTAATCTCTTGCACTACAATTCAGATTTTATCAGTATCTGTGTAATTTTCTTGCTTTTTTGTTTAGTATTGTTTTACTTTGCTTCTGCTCTTCATCTCACCAAGTGGTTACCACCATAGTCAGTGATAACTGACCACTACAGAAGCGCAATTGTAAAACAGCAATTACCCTGGCAGTCCTTCTCAAGTTTAAATCAAGATGGTTATTGATATTGGCCACATTTTTTTTTTTTCAGCCCATATATCTGTACAGTTTAAGATGTTGAGGTCTGACAGCTGTGTCACTAGCCTGGAGTATATTTTAAAAATGCCCATGCAAGCTGCATTGTTTGAATCAACACAATGTAATGATGCTTTACACGTTGGCTTCATTCTTTCGGGATTTTTCCCTTTTTTTTTTGACCATATTGTGGCTCTCAGCTTCTGTCACACTCCTGGTCCTCAGTTTTGTTTGAAGGCAGTGAGGACTGATTCAGGGGACACACACTTATTGCTCATGATACTTTTGCGATAGAGCTGACTTTTATGAAGTGTGTAACAAATGTGTGTGTTCTTAGTTGTTACTAGGAAGTAATGCGTGGGAGAGTCATATTGCTTATTATCACGGTTTTCATTTTGTGTTGCTGTCATTTCCTGTGGAA